TTTTTCGTCACGCTGTGATGACGTCACAGCGCGCTTTTGTAGAGAGCGATTTTGTCCTACGCGCTTTTGTGGTGGAACCTTTAGATTTATGTGCCACTTCATGGTGTTTTACAGCCCTCTCTAAGCAGTTTACAAAAATCAGCATATTGTCCTCAACAATCTGGGTCCTCATTTTATTGGACCTAAGAAACATGGAAGGCTGAGTCAACCTTGAACCGGTCAGGATCGAACTGCTGGCAGTCGGCAGTGAGTTAGCCTGCAATACTGGATTCTAACCACTGCGCCACCACGGCCCATTCAAGTATTCTGCTAATTCTCTTGTTGCAGGCTCAGAGACAGCCCAGGCTTTCTACCCCATGTTCTTTGGCCAAGAACACTTCTTTGATGAGGTTTTCTGTATTTGCATCCAGCTGTTGAACAAAACCTGGAAGGAGATGCGAGCTACTCAAGAGGATTTTGACAAGGTAAGACCCAGGTGGATTGCAGCAAGATTTAAAAGGGACCGTTTGACTGATAGGTTCTTGAGCTGCATGGTTTTCAGTACAGGGGATTGAATGTTTTTCTTTACTTTTTTAAGTGGTGTTGATTGTCAGTCTGAACTGGGCTGAAAGTGAGGAGTGGTAGAATAATGGCATTCATTGGGGTCTCTGCCTGATCTCCTCGGATTAAATGCAGTCCTCTGCCACTCAAAACTGACAGTCTTTGCCCTATCATTTGCATGGTGGAACGATCTACATTATCCATTCATTCATCTTTGCCCCATCATTTGCATAATGGAAGGATCTACATCATTCATTCACTCACTCTGCCCCATCATTTGCATGGTGGAACAATCTATATTATTCATTCATTCAATCAATCAACCAACCAATCAATTTCTATAGCTACCCATATCAATCCAATTGACTTTTTTTGATAGAATAGAATTAGGAATTGGAATTAGAATTGGAATAGGAACAGAGCAGAACAGAGCAGAACAGAATTCTTTATTGGCCCATTGTGATTGGACACACAAGGAATTTGTCTCCAGTGTAGAATCTCTCAGTGTTCACACAAACAACAAAGTTAGGTAATAAATCATAAATCATAGCTACAATCATTAATCACAAGATACAAACAAGTGATAAATCATAAGGTACCAGTAGGAGAAGATAGTAGGAGAGATGAGGAGGAGGAGGAGAAGAGCAGTATAGCCTACTTTTGTCAATCCAATTGACTTTTTGTGATGAGAGATGGTGGTGCAGAAGACACACCTGTGCAGGTAACTCTATGGATCTTCCTCCAGGTCATGCAAGTGGTTCGGGAGCAGATCACACGAACCCTGGCCCTGAAGCCCACTTCGCTGGAGCTCTTCAAGAGTCGAGTGAACACCCTCAACTACAGTGAGATCCTGCGTCTCCGGCAGACAGAACGCATGCATCAAGAGGAAATTCTACCTGTCCCTGTCCTGTGAGTAAGGAGGCTTCCAACTGTATCTCCAATAGTTGTTTGTGTGTGTGTGTATGCCTGTGCAAGAGAGAGGGGGAGACCAAACCTAATTTCTAATGTTGGATTTTCCCTCTTACCAGAGGGAGCCCCTTTGTGGAGTACTGTGAAGCTGTTACCATGGCAACTTCCACTGCGCTGTACAGTAGAAACCATTTTAAGGCACAACAGGCTGTACCTTAACAAAACACACATCCTGAGGGGTTTTAGGGGTGTCTTACCACCACAATATTTTTCTCCAGAGAGTAAGTCATCTTGTGTACCACTTTTGGTTGAAATTGTTCAAGGCGTTCCAGTGGATAGATGCTGCCTTTTGATATGTCCTTGGGGTCCTTGCAAGGAAGGGCAGTAAGATGCCTTTTAAATAAAAGAAACCGTGATCATTTTTTATTTTCAAGAGAGCTTAATGCTGTGCCCTGGGTTGTGTACCTGTTACCTGAAACCTAGTGTGAAAATAAAGCAGCATAACATAGAAAACACTCCACTAAGACAAAAATTTTCAAGAGTAATAGCAATGCAAAATAATAATAATAAACAGCAATAAAACAGCCAGGTTCTAGAAATACGGTATTCATTACAATTTGAATTCTAATGGACTCGTTTTTAATCATCTGTATTTGTGTTTTTTTCTTTGTGTGTTTATTTTCTTTGTGGTGTTTATTTTAGAAGGTAAGCTCACAGAGTATCAAGTGTAAACTGAAAGATTTTGGGGGGGGGCGTTAAGGTGAGGTAGAAATGCTAGAAATAAGTAATGCGCTTGGTAAAACAAGATGGCTGCCCTCCCAAGGAAGAAGAATGTTGTTTTCCTTCGGCTTTTTGGCACCAAGTGCAAAGACTCTCCCTCTTTGTGGCCATGCTTGTTCTGAAATCAGGGAAATGGACTCTACTTTACCTGGGATACCAGTTTTAGAGAAAGTCCTTCAGGTAAAGAAAATTCTAATTCCATTGGAATGTCACTTTCGGACCTGACATAATTTAAACCTCTAAATCAGGGGTAGTCAACCTTTTTATACCTACCGCCCACTTTTGTATCTCTGTTAGCAGTAACATTTTCTATTTAGAGCAGTGGTAGTCAACCTGGTCCCTACCCCCTACTAGTG